TTTTTTTGAGACAGAGCCTCAAGATGTCCCCCTGGGTAGAGTGCTGTGGCATCACAGCTCACAGCAACCTCCAACTCCTGGGCTCAAGCGAGTCTCCTGCCTCCGCCTCTCAAGTAGCTGGGACCACAGGCACCCACCACAATACCCAGCTATTTTTTGCCGTCATTGTTATTTTGGTGGGCCAGGGCTGGATTTGAACTCGCCACCTTAGGTGTATGTGGCTGGCGCCTTAGCCACTTGAGCCACAGGTGCCTAGCCTAAATCCTAATTTTCAATTCTTTTAATATAGAATGAAACAAAAACAGCAAGAAAAAGATACCCAGAAAGTTTCTAGGCAAAAAATAACCTAAGGCTTGGCGCCTGTGGCTCTAGCGGCTAAGTCGCCAGCCACATACACCTGAGCTGGCGGGTTCGAATCCAGCCTGGACCCACCAAACATAACGACTACAACCAAAAAATAACAGGGCGTTGTGGCAAGGTGCCTGTAATCCCAGCTACTTGGGGGTCGGAGGCAGGAGAATCACTTGAGCCCAGGAGTTAGAGGTTGCTGTGAGCTATGATGCCATGGCACTCTACCCAGGGTGACAGCTTGAGGCTCTGTCTCAAAATAATAATAATAATAATAACGAAGGCAGGCATGTTAGCACACACCTGCAGTCCCTGATCCTCAGAAGGTGCAGGCAGAAGGATTGCTTGAGGCTACAGTGAGCTACCATAATAACACTGCACTCCAGCCTGGGCAACAGAGCCAGACTCTATCTTTTAAAAAAAAAAAAAACAGGCTGAGCACAGTGGTTCACACTTACAATCCCATCACTTTGGGAGACTGAGGCATGAAGATAGCTTGAGGCCAGGACTCTGAGACCAGCCTAAGCAAGAATGAGACCCCATCTCTACTAAAAACAGAAAAAGTAGCCAAGTGTGGTGGTGGGCACCTGCAGTCCCAGCTACTTGGGAGGCTGAGGGAGGAAGACTGCTTGAGCCCAAGAGTTGGAGGTTGCTGTCAGCTATGCCTGCACCCTATCCAGAATAACAGAATGAGACTCTGTCTCAAAACAAACAACAAAAAAGGCAGCGCCTGTGGCTCAAAGGAGTAGGCCGCTGGCCCCATATGCTCAAGGTGGTGGGTTTAAACCCAGCCCCAGCCAAAAACTGCAAAAACAAAAAACAAACAAAAAGAAAAACAAATATCCAGGCGCAGTGGCTTATGCCTATAATCCTGGCACTTTGGGAGGCCGAGGCGAGTGGAATATCTGAGCTCATGAGTTCAAGACCATCCTGAGCAAGATCCCAAATAGCCAAGTGTTGTGGTGGGCACCTGTAGTCCCCACTACTTGGGGGCTGAAGCAAGGGGATCACTTGAGCCCAACAGTTTGAGGTTGCTATGAGCTAAGATGCTACAGCACTCCACAGAGGGCTACAAAGTGAGACTCTGTCTCAATAAACAAACAGAAAGAAACCAAAAACAAAAATGTTTGTAAAACACTCTGCAAATCACAATGCAGCTGTCTTCGAGGGACAGAGGCCGTACTCTGTGACAGAAATAAAACTCAGAGCTGTCCCAGGTAAGTTTGAATATAGACATGGCTATCTATGGGGACTCTGGAGAAATGAAAATCCAGGCAGTTAAGTCAGTCAATGAGATGTAAGGCAGGAATTGTTTCTGTATTCTAGAAACTTCTACTAAAACAAATTTTTTTTTTTTTTTAGACAGAGCCTCAAGCTGTTGTCCTGGGTAGAGTGCCCTGGCATCAAAGCTCACAACAACCTGCAACTCCTGGGCTCAAGTGAATCTTCTGCCTCCCACGCCCAAGTAGCTGGGACTACAGGCGCGCGCCACAACACCCAGCTACTTTTTGGTTGCAGCCGTCATTGTTTGGCTGGCCTAGGCTGGATTCAAACCCGCCAGCTCAGGTGTACGTGGCTGGCCCTAAGCCGCTTGAGCCACAACAACTCATTTAGGGAAAAAAAAATTTGTTACCTTCTAGTTGGTTCACCATTTCATTACAGAAAGGATGACAAGGCAAGACAAAAAACCAGAAAGGGGCTTGGCACCCTTAGCACAGTGGTTACAGCGCCAGCCACATACACTGAGGCTGGTGGGTTTGAATCCAACCCAGGCCAGCTAAAACAACAATGAACAACTACAACAAAAAATACCTGGGCGTTGTGGCGGGTGCCTGTAGTCCAGCTACCGGGAGGCTGAGGCAAGAGAATCACTTAATCCCAAGAGTTTGAGGTTGCTGTGAGCTGTGACACCATAGCACTCTAATGAGACTCTGTCTCCAAAAAAAATCTTTGAAAGGTTGGCCATTTTTTCTTTTGTTAAAAATTCTCCATTTTGGCTCAGTGCCTGTGGCTCAAGCAGCTAAGGCACCAGCCACATACACCTAAAGTGGCAGGTTCGAATCCAGCCCCGGCCTGCCAAACAACAATGATGGCTGCAACCAAAAAATAGCCAGGCATTGTGGTGGGCGCCTGTGGTCCCAGCTACTTCGGAAGTGGAGGCAGGA